TGCATACAGGATTAACAAAAGCTTTATACACAACATCCCTCTTTTTGCGGAGTTTGTATGTTGAATTTTTCAAAGAAATCAGCTAAAAGACACTTCACTTTTCTTTTGTCCACTAACGATTTGTATAATTTAAGGGTCTTAAGTTAAAGGTGAAAGTTAAAATCCAATTCTAATATCTTATTTGATTTGTATTGTCATTATTGATAAGATTGGGAGTAAAAGCCTTTAAACTTTAGGTAGATTTTAAACCTTTAAACATGAACAAAGACATATTGTAGTAAAGTAACAAATCCAACAGGATCAATGAATCATAAAATTCACGTAGTTTATGTACATTAATGCAATTGCGTCCTATTGAAAACAAATCTATTGAGGTTTCTGTCTTACACTAATACTGATCCGATCTTATATTTAAGTAAAAAAAAAAACAAATAAAGAAAAGAAGAGGATTACATCAATTTTCTAAGGGAAAAGATTGTAGTATACAGACTGTTTATTACATGGACCCATGCATATGTTTTAGCTGTAGACCTCAACTAAGTGAAAAGGACAATTCCGATTTATTTATAAGAATAAGAAGATGTGGTATGATTGCCAATGAGACAACTCTCCATCAGAGACCAAATGACACAGAAATTAACAACAATGGGTCACCGTACAGCCTTCAACAATGAGCACAACCCATACCGCATAGTCAGCTATAAAAGGCCCCGAAATGACAAATGTAAAACAATTCAAACAAGAAAACTAACGGCTTGATTTATGTACAATATAATGAACGAAAAACGAATATGAGATACAGCAACAAACGACAACTACTGAATTACAGGCTCCTGACTTAGGACAGGCACATATATATATACTGAGGAGGAGTTAAACTAGTTTTCTGGCGCCAAACCCTCCCCTAACCTTGGACAGTGGTGTAACAGTACAACATAAGAACAAACTTCAGAAATCAGTTACTTGGATTTTTTTTTATATTATATATTACCAAAAGTAAATCTCAATTTCATATATTATCTGAAAAAATCATACCTCTTTTTATTAGAAAAGAGGGGCGAAAGATACCAAAGGGACATTCAAACTCATAAGTCGAAAATAAACTGATAACGCCATGTCTAAAAAAGAAAAAGACAAACACACAATAGTACACAAAACTCAACATAGAAAACTAAAGACTGAGCAACACGAACCCCACCAAAAACTGGGGGTAACCTCAGGTGCTCCGGAAGGGTAAGCAGATCCTGCTCATGTGGCACCCGTCGTGTTGCTTATGTTAGTACAAACCCGGTAATAAGTCTAATTTAGTAGGTCACATTCGGGATAAAGGGACGGGATTGTAGTTACGACATTAGGAGCATATCCGCTACCATCTGTGAAATGGATATTCCGTAACGGTCAACCAACTCGTGATGGCGTCCATAAAATTTACGAATGGGTTGATTTTCCTCAAAAAGTCTCACCTCATAATTGTTACATACAATGTTTTCGTAAAAATCCATCCCTACACAAACACACACATACAAACACACATTTAGATAGATAGAAAGATAGATCAATATATATTTCCACGAACTTATTTCTTCAGGGATAACCTATTTATGAATATTAATATAATAAGGGAAGTATAACGATATTGAAGTGATAACGTAGTGAATAAATATACAATATATATCATTCGAATGAAAAAAAGGAAATATGAACAAGATAACCAACTGACGATTAATCTCATACCAAAGTATATATAAAAATTCATTTATCATAAATTTCTAATTTATTACAGAAAACTGAAGCAAGCATTACATGTTACATCTGTATATTGGAAGGTCGATGGTTTACTCTCATAGTAAGTTTTGATCTGGAAAACGGACAGTAGAGTTAGATCCGGATACCGACATTTCTGAGAATTCTCGCACGGAAAATATTAATAAAATTAACGTTTTAACGGCAAATAAACAGAATTTTATTTCGGATGCTGAATAACCTTAATAATTAAATAAAATGCTGAAAATGAATATTCATAGAGTGATTAAAATTCTAATTATGAAGAACAAACTGTTATACTAGGCAATGTAAATGAGGATTAGACAAAGCAGAATATCAACTCTCAATTCCGTAGTTATCCTTTTGTTGCCACCAAGTAACATTGGAATTAAATACTTTAGTTTAGGTCAAAAGCGAGTCCATTGCTAGGCACTGTGTGAAGCTTGACAAAGAATGGATGCGTCTAAGACTGGAGCTCTACGTTTTGCTTGCCTAAAATGTGTAGCCTCACAAATTTCAAACTTATAACCTTTGATCTTCGATCGAAACATAATTTCGGACAAATGATCACTCTGTTTTGTCTACCAAGTTTTATTCAGCCACAGGAAATAAGTGCTTAATGAATAAATGAACTACATTCAAATTATATGAAATATTTAAGGAAGGAAATATGAAGACACACTTACAGATTACGCATGTATAAGGATATTGTGAATGTATGTCGAAATATCAATTAATAATTAAGTTCTAGAGTTCAAATTCCAATCATTGGTATAGAAATACCACCTCAACAACTTATTATACTGTTCAGTCAAGTACGTTACGTATTCCCCTTTCTTTCGATATCAGAGAACCAAACGTGAAGTGGTCTTAAATAAATATTATATTTTCATTCATTGATACTGGGGAGAAGAGATTAGTTATCTGTCCAGACGATATCGGCCATTTTCTTGACAATAAATGTAACTAAAGCTATTTAAAATATTAGACGTATTAAACGATCGCCTGATTTGTATAACGCTTCATTGAAGGAACACGAATCAATAATCTCGATTATTACAGTCGTCTGGGACATTATGTTGGTGCAATAAATAAAACTGGACAGAAAAGATAGATGACCACCGGCAGGTGATGGTGTCTTCGGACAATGGTCAGCAACACATGCTATTAGTAACAAAATGAAATCTGTATGGAAGAGTCCACTCAATGTTTAATCACTTTGCTTCAATATAGTTTAGCAAAGAGTAATAACATTGGTTTAATCGCCAATCTCCGCTAATCTTAATTTAAGGGGGTACTGATGCTCCACGAACTGATCATGTATTGACAAAAAATATTTTATGTCAAGGGTTTGAAATACTACCACGCTTTGCTCGACAAATAAACATAATTAACCTGGGAAACATAATTTGCATATTATATAAATATATAATATTATATATTTCATTTCAATATTAAAAAAAAAGTTTTTCTGTTACAAATCACAATGTATTGTGTTGTGTGTAAACATGTCATGCTGCCCATCAAGGGCCCTTGATTGGAATAATAAATATTCTATTCTATTCTTTTCTATAAAAATAAGGAGATGAGGTATGAGGTATGATTGCCAATGAGACAAGTATCCACCAAAGTTCAAATAAAGTGGATGTAAGCAAATATAGGCAACCGTACGACCTTCAACAATGAGAAAAACCCATACCGTATAGTCGGCTATAAAAGGCCCCGACATGAAAATATGAAATAACTCAATTGAGAAAACTAACGGCCAACTTTATAACAAAACAATTCACGAAAAACAAATATGACAGACATGAACCAACGACAACTACTGAACTACAGGCTCATGGCTTGTGACAGGCTCATAAAGAATGTGGCGGGGTTAAACATGTTTGTGAGCGCTCAACCACCCCCCCCCCCCCCTTTCCCCTAACCTGGGACAGTGGTATAACAGCACAACATACGAACAAACTATAAAGATCGGCAAAGGCAAAACTCATCAGATTGATACAAAGCAGAAAAACATCAAACATAAAGACAGACCGGACGTGGCAGGGTATTTATCTATCCCTCATCCCTAACAACAAAAAGGACACCAAGTACAGATCTGAGAGTACTCGCAGTTACTGACAGCCAGTTCAAAGCCAATAACAACTGTATGTGCGATGATCTACAGTTGTTATCATCTACATGTACGTCATTTGGTGTCTGGTGGATAGTTGTCTCATTGACAATATTATTACATCTTATATTTGTATATGTCATATAATTGTAAATTGTTCACCTGCATAAATGTGTAACAATCAGTAAGGTGACCCCCCCCCCCCCCCTTTTGACCTGTTGATTCTAAAATATACAGAGTTCTTCCCCTCTCCCATATCTTTGTTTTCTATAAGTTCCATTCCAAGAAGAGGGAAACTTCAAATTACCATCCAGAAACAATTTTTCCAACTTTTATCCACGTTTAATTACAGTGACATTGACCTTTGGCACTAAAATCACTAGCCTTCTTCCATCAACATTATATGAACAGCGACCTTGACATATTGACCCCAATATCCATAAGCTTCTTCCCCTATATTTTCCGTCTGTATAAGAATCATATCAACCAAGCAAGGGACACTCGAATTATCCCGAAACCATTTGTTTCGGACACTTGGGTGGATGGAAGGAAGGACAAAGCGATTACTATATGAACCCAATATTTTAGCGTGAACCATAATAAAGCGTCAAGTCAAATGAAGACAACGGGAACCATCTTTTCTTTAATGTATAGTAGCAAATATTACTTGTATGTAAGGACGTGAACATGTAGGTGTGACATGAATATGAACCATGAATGTTGTGTACTTGACTGGTACTCAAAGCAGGATTTTAACGTCCTAGGTAACAGTCCACAGGCAGACATCCAATGACACATTATACCAAATCTAAGCTAGAAAGGTTTGCTCGTATTCCTAAATGTGGTGTGCTTAGCGGAAAAGAAGCAACTACTGCTTTTAAAGTCTTCGGTTTTACTCTGCCGGTTTTGACGACTGTCGTACAACCAGGAGACCATAGAGGTGGTAACAAAGAAAAGAAACCAGAATTGGCCTATCAGACTAAACATGTCTTCTATAACATTGCTACCAATATGCTTTTTAGTCTCGTGACATTGAACATCCCCTACAACATGGCTAGCAATATGCTGTCAAGTATCAAAACATATCTCACATTTCTATGTACATTCTCACAATATATATTGTAAAATATTTTAATTATAAAAACTTAAATGTAACAAGTATGTATCTAGATTTTCCAAAAAGGAAATAAACAATTACAAATGTATCTACTATAGCATACAAGTAATGAACGACAAACATTTGACAAACCCTTATATTTTCAAAGGTGTTGATTCCATGATAAAAGGACATTTAAATAACATTTCCCGAACCCTCCCCGAAAAATGTTACACTCACTGAATCAACCATACGACTTCAAATTGTATTATACATTTGACTTCGGACAAAGACAAAGACAACCGAATCCAAAAGATGGGATAGTAGCGCACTATTAACAATAACAATGTTTGTCGATTTTTACTGTTTTTCTCTCGTTTAAGAAAATACTCTGAAACAAATCTTCAGTTTTCAAAAACAAGCGTTTATATTGTATATGACCACATGGTCAGAAATAAAAATGAGGCAAAGCCATTTTGTACAGAATCTCTACAATACTAAGGCGAGACATTTTGTTTGTCTAACAGCTACATGTAACTGGGTACTGAAACATCAAGAATAAAGTAACAGACAACAATTTCACAAAAAAATCTTACTAGAAACAATACTCGTAAATCATGGACATTCTAGTATAACTTACGATCAATTTTAGACGTAAGATTTTTTGTGAAAAGAGCTGCAGACTTTTAAATATAATTTTTCCATTTGGGCTATATTGGGTCTTAGATATTGTGCATATTTAGCCTTTTTCGTCTTTTTTAAACTGAGGATTTGTTTCGATGGATGGAGAAAAGCTAGATGTATACATTTGATGGACAATCCACCTTTGCTATTGGTATATACCATACATACTAAAATCTATAAATTCAAAATGATTATATGTATTTTGTACAGAATGAGAAAATGCTTTAAAAAATAAATACAGTTTGAAATTTATCTACATGTATAAAAATTACGAGATCGACAACTCTCTGAAACGTATGACAAAAACTTAAAACAATGTTGTATAAAATGTGGAATTTCTGAACCAAATGATGAAGGTTCAATTTCCCTTGAGTTTGTTTCACTTTTTGAGTGTCGGGAGAAATATTTATCAGCAGACAATTTTGAAGAAAACTGTCCCATCATTGTGCGATGTTCACAGAGCACATTTCATATCTCAACTGTAGAGGTGCTTGCTGAATTCGACCAGACTTTCGCCGTTAGCATGGAGGACAGCAAAAATAGTTCAAATTCAACCAGCAAATTTGAGTTTTCATATGAAAGGCTTTTATTATTCTCGTTTTTAAGGTATATAACTGAATATCAAAAAAGAGACAGTTATCATTACAAGGAAAGCGCAAATCGAAAAATAGTTCATTGGTGTTTATGTTTACCGATAAAGAATAACTAGACGCTCTAAAGAGCCTGTGTCGCTCACCTTGGTCTATATGCATATTCAACAAAGGACACTCTCCAACATTGTAGACGAGAATAGAATTAATGACAAAAATCTCTGTTTTTTTTATCTTATATTGCTGATCATTGAAGTCTGTTTAGTTTCTCTCTATCTTATTTAGCTTTTGCTCCAAACACAAAAGAGGGTAAAAAAATTCCTAATTTAAGGACAATAACTCCTATAAAGAGTAACAGTCTTCTAATAATATCAGCAAAATTTGACTTGCAAAAATTAAACACCAACACCTAGTTTTATCAATTTTCGTTGAGTACCAAAAATATTTCACATACACCATGCAAACATTTCTCAAGTTGTGCTTTCCGTTCAAGGGTTATCAAAATATATAAAATTTTCGTAAATTCTGCATAAATTCAATAAGCATGAAATATATATATTTTTATCTTTCTCAAAAAGTGATATCATGTGTAAACAAAAAAGCAGGGGAAATTGTCCCTATCCCTTTTCTTACAATTTCCTTAAGGACAATTTTCTTACAAATAATATAATAAAAATGCAAGCAAAAAAATCTGCTGAGGCCACAGTAAAATAAATAACTGTTAAACATCCTTGTTTTGTTGTGTACAAATTATCAATCATAATATGAATTTGTTTCATAAAATATTTATTATTACATAATTTGAAAGAAACTGATTAAGTTGATATTTGTCCAAAAAAAAAAAAGAAAAAGAGGTTTGAACTTCAAAAAAATATAGTTTAATTAGAATGTACAAGTATTTATATCCATTTATTTTTTTATTAAATTTGAATTTTCAGAGCGTTTAACAATTCAATTTTAAAGAGTTCTTCGGTTTTATATGTTACCATGGTAACAGACGCACATGCATCCACCTTGTTCCCGATCTACACACTGATTCGTGGAATAAATGCATTTATTAAGTTGTAAATATGTGTGTTAACAAGAAAAGCGTTAATGTTATGCGTCTTTACACACATAAAAAAAATTAAATTGAAATTACAAAGCACGTTTTACATTATTGTGGCCTTTATATGGCTGATGATAACAAAACATCAATTTTGTGTGGCCTTTATCTGTTTTCTACGTTTCATTTGATTTAAATTTTCCCTGATTCAACATTCTTGTGATAAAAAGTAATAAGAAACTTATCTTTGCACAATTCTTATACAAAGATATACACACTTCGAGGTAGTCTCCGGTTTCTTAAGTACTTCTGACTTATCACAAACGAAGCCATCTCAAGGTCTTTTTGTATGAATTACAAGTGTCTATATTTAACGTATTCGTGTAATGCATGTATGCGTATTATGCGACAAAACTCAGTCACACGAGAATCTAATTCAGTCACACGAGAATCTCGTATTGTTTCATTACCCACAATTCTTTAACTCGCTACCTAATATTTACAAGTAACTCCTGAGATGAACCTTAAAACTTCCTCGCAGTGATTAAGTTTGTTTTATGATTTCGCGTACAGTAAAACTGCCATAAAATTACCATGAATACGAAAGTCCACATTTATTTACAAGTCCCGGTTACCACTTAAAATTTCATCCAACCAAGCGGCATCACTGCTAACACCTGTACTTTGTGCCGCCATATTATCTATGTAATCGGAATTGCCACTTTGAGAAGCACTATCTAAGATGTTCATGAAGTCGTCTTGTTGTGGACGCTGATTAAAGCTAGAGTTATTTTGATTGGCCATTGCCATTCTTTGAGACATCTGTATGCCCTGTTGTTGCATCATCATGTGTTGCGCCTGCGCATTATTCTGCATCATAGCTTGAGATTGCATTGCAGTCATCTGCATAGGCCTTGTCTGATTAACATTAGTCACTGTTGTTCCAGCTTGACCGGCATACGTGTTATTATACATTATATTTGGATTTTGTGGCCTGGCCATTCCGTTCATATTTCCATGCATCATGTGACGGGGCCATTCCTGGGAACGGGGTTGTGAAATATTTAAGCCATCTGGTCCAACATTAACATTTGGAGGTCTCTGGTTTCGCATTATAGCACTTGTGTACCCATGTCCATTTTGCCGATTTTGACGCACTAACGAAGAGTCTATACCACCCGGGTACGACTGTTGTCGTTGTATCTGCGACATATGATACCCTGCATCATTCTGTGATATAACTGGCCCCGAATTAATTGTTGAGCTAGCAGGTCCTCTCTGCATGGCGGCCATTTGAGCAGATTGCATCATGCCATTCTGGATATGGGGTGTGTTTTCAGATTTGACACTTCCATATCCAGAAGTCTGCATGGTGTTTGTTTGTTCGACCATGTCCTGCATTGTTTGTAAGGGGTTTTGTCTACTAGCGGAATATCCCTCCGATTGTTTATATTCGGGTGGCGGTCTCATAAATTGTTGCATTTGCGCCGCCTGCATGCTTTGGTGGCGTTGCTCCTGTCTCATTTTTTCTTGGTACATTTGTTGCATTTTCATTTGCTCATTCATGTAACCCGGTGACTGCCTTTGTGCCATGTTGTTCGGCATTGAAAATGACTGATGCTGAGACATAGATATGTTTTGTGGCGGTTGACGCATGTGCATCTGTTGTGTCTGAGACATTTGTAATCTCCGTGAACCGTCACTAACGTGCATTTGTTGTGTTTGTGTTATTTCCATCTGAGGACTTTGACTGAAAGACTGAACCTGATTTTGTAATTGTTGTAAGGAGGAAGGCGTGGGGTTTCCTGCTACCCCTGGATAGTGAGTTAATGGTTTCGTTCCTGCATACATGTCTTGATTCCCTTCCTGATAAACAACGCTACCGTTTCTTATATTGTTTATATTCTGTTGGTTACCATATCCATAAGAAGTGTCCATAGTTGGAGGGTACTGATTCGTATAGTTCCCCTCTTGTATGTGTGTATTGAACTGTTTATACGAGCCACCATGGTGTTGGTTACTTTGATGTTGTGCAGCCATTTGTTTAAGTGTTTCCGCTGCTGGTCCAGTTTCAGTCATAGTAGTAATTGCTCCCGGTTGTCTAAATGGGACGGGTGGCGTTCTTACTGGATTTGAAGGTGGACTCTCGAATATATTTCCGGAATTTCCAGCATTTCCGGGATCATAAGGTGGCTGTTTGTGTAAGCCTGGAGAACTTCCGGTCATGCTGCCAAACATACTTGAGTCATTACTGTCCTCTTGGGACACTTTACTGTAAATTTGGTCAAATTTTTGTAATTCTTCGAAAATCTCGTCACTTAATTTACTTTCATCTTTTTCAATTGTTTTTAATATTTCTTCCAGCTCTTCTTGATCAAGGATTTCGGAGCCCGTGTGACTTATATCAGATTTATTAGAATGTATACCAGGAATGTCATCACAAGGTTCTTGCTTACATTCAAATTTCGTACTTGTCTCAACACTGGTTGATGGCTTATCTTTCGATTCTATGTGTGTTTTGACTGTAGTACTAACGGCCACGTTTGTTTGTACTTGCTGCGGGTTTCCGCCCGTGATTTCCTGAACAATGCGAACAGACACGTCGACTCCAGATCCGCCTTTAACCGTTTTCTGTGTAGTAATGGTGTCCGACTCATCAAAATCGAACGCACTTGTGTCAAGATTCTGGCTCTCTGATTGGCTACTATCGATCTTTTTCTTGAGTAATTTCTACAAAGACAGAACAAAATGAATTAATCAACAAAATTAATCAAAATTCAACTAATTTGGCTTTCATTCTCTTCGATTCTTTTCCATCATCAGAGGGTAATTTATCAAAGCTACAGAATAGTGGGTTAATTTTAGGGAATATAATATCCAATATGAGGAGACATTGGTCTTTAATTTCTACACAAGTTAAACGTGTGTACAATCAATGACACTTAGTTATTACCCAAATTCAAAGTGTCACACTACGTGTTCACTGAGTATATATGAATACTATGCACACAAATTCAAAAAGGAAAGTCAAGACTGACCTGCAGTTGTATTGCTTAAAACTGAAATACTGACTGTATCAGACATTCGTATAATTTAAGTTTCTCAGAAGTGACTGTGCGTGGATTCCCGGACCTCGACATTATATAAGGAACAAACTTCTTTCTTCGATTCATTTCAAATATCCTTTCAATTTCTAGCATTGTTTTAAATAGGACATAAATATGTGTATACATGTTGTAAATAAAATCTGTTTGAAATTTATTGAAATAAAACAGAAAATTCGAAGAAATCTCGTGCTTCACTCTGAAATGAATTAAAATAAAGTTCGTTTATTTTGAATTAATTTCCAGTTCAAATATAACCTGTAGAAAAAAGCCAAACAAAGGGTTTAGTTTTCGATTTATAAGTATAATAAGTACAGGTATAGAAGGATAATGATAGTCCAGATCCGATGATACACTTGAGTATAAAAAAGGTCTCCGGTTTTCCGTCTGAGGAATACGGCTTACCCGCAAGGGGCTTCCGTTTGAGCATGGTCAACATAGCCTTATTATCACAGAGGCAATCGAAATCTCCCGACCTTCATCCCGTCGGCCCACCCAGCAGAATCAAAATATTGTGACCCCTTGCATTGTTATATAATTAATTTCTTCGCGTCCTGAATATGCATTTAATATACAATATTTGTAAATGGACGTTAATCGTGCAACAATCCATCATAAGTTTAACCTGGCGAAAGATAACACACTTTATGTTTGGAATTTGTAAACAGGAAAAGCAAACAGATGATCATGTAGTTTTGTAAGGTCGGAAAGAAAACTGAATTGTTTTTCATTTTTATGATTCAGTGACAATTAGAAAAAAATATAAATCAATTGTATAACACTATGTCTATACGTATCTCCTGTACTTGACGACCGAAATATTAGATTGAGTACGAATGTACGATCTACACACTGGTAAAATAGAGTATATGTACGATCTACACGCTGGAATGATAAAAAGTAAATGTACAATCTACACTCTGGCATAATGGAGTAAATTTACGATCTACACTCGGGTATGATCATTGAGAAAATGTACGATCTTCAAGCTGGTTTGATCATTGAGTAAATGTACGATCTTCAAGCTGGTTTGATCATTGAGTAAATGTACGATATACAAGCTGGAAAGATCATTGAGTAAATGTACCATCTACAAGCTGGTATGCACATTGAGTAAAAGTACGATCTACACGCTGGAATGATAAAGTAAATTTACGATCTACAATCTGGTATGATCATTGAGTAAATGTACACTCTATAAGCTGGTAAGATTATTGAGTAAATGTACTATCTTCAATTAAGCTGGTATGATCATTGGGTAAATGTGCGATCTACAAGCTGGTATGATCACTGAGTACATGGTCGATCTACAAGCTGGTTTGATCATTGAGTAAATATACGATCTTCAAGCTGGTTTGATCATTGAGTAAATGTACGATCTTCAAGCTGGTTTGATCATTGAGTAAATGTACGATCTATAAGCTGGTAAGATCATTAAGTAAATGAACAATCTACACGCTGGTATGCTCATTGAGTAAATGTACGATCTACACGCTGGTATGATCATTGAGTAAATTTACAATCTACACGCAGGTATGATCATTGAGTAAATGTACGATCTACATGCTGGTTTGTTAGGGTAAATGTACGATCTACACGCTGGTTTGATCGTTGAGTAAATGCACAATCTACACGCTGGTATGATCATTAGATGTACGATATACATATACAAGCTGGTATGATCATTGAGTAAATGTATGAACTACTGGCTGGTATGATAGAGAAAATGTACGATCAATACGCTGGTATGATCATTGAGTAAATGTACAATCTACACGCTGGTATACATGTAATCATTGAGTTAATGTACGATCTACACGCTGGTTTGATCGTTGAGTAAATGAACATCTACACGCTGGTATGATTATTAGATGTGCGATCTACAAGCTGGTTTGATCATTGAGTAAATGTACGATCTACATGCTGGAATGATAAAGTAAATGTACAATCTACACTCTGGCATAATAAAGTAAATTCACGATCTACAATCTGGTATGATCATTGATTAAATGTACACTCTACAAGCTGGTAAGAACATAGAGTGTAAATGTTCGATCTACAAGCTGGTTTGATCATTGAGTAAATGTACGATCTTCAAGCTGGTTTGATCATTGAGTAAATGTACGATCTTCAAGCTGGTTTGATCATTGAGTAATTGTACGATCTACACGCTGGTATGATCATTGAGTAAATGTACGATCTTCACGCTGGTATGATCATTGAGTAAATGTAAAATCTACACGCTGGTATGTTCATTGAGTAAATGTACGATCTACATGCTGGTATGTTAGGGTAAATGTACGATCTACACGCTGGTTTGATCGTTGAGTAAATGTACTATCTACAAGCTGGTATGATCATTAGATGTACGATCTACAAGCTGGTATGATCATTGAGTAAATGTACGAACTACACGCCTGTATGATAGAGTACATGTACGATCTATACGCCGGTATGATCAATGAGTAAATGTACAATCTACACGCTGGTATGATAAGAGTAAATGTATAATCTACAATCTGTTATAATAGAGAAATGTAGGATCAACACGCTGATATGATCATTGAGTAAATGTTCGACTACACGCTGGAATGATCTTTTAGTAAATGTACGATCTACAAGCTGGTATGGTCATTGAGTAAATGTACGATCTACAAGCTGGTATAATCATTGAGTAAATGTATGATCTACAAGTTGGTGTGATCATAGAGTAAATTTAAGCTCTACAAGCTGGTATGATCATTGAGTAAATGTACGATCTTCACGCTGATATGATAGAATAAATGAAACATCTACACGCTTGTATGAGAGACCTTTTTTTTACAGGTACACGTATAAATTATCTGTTCACACGCAACCAAGAGATCTATTTAACAATCTGACTATTCATTTGTATGGTGTATTAAATAACTTTAACATTTTAAAGCGAAGCAATTATGTTATGAAATTAATTTAATTGAGCCATAAACGTTATATTCGACGATCGCAACAATAAAATATGTAATGTAACATGGGAAATGTAATCCATTTACAATGAACGAGTTGTTTGTAATCTATACACAATCGGCGGGCAAATAGTCTACCCTCCCTCCCCATTGAACAATGTTACTCTCTTACAATCGGCGGGCAAATAGTCTACCCTCCCTCCCCATTGTACAATGTTACTCTCTTACACAATCGGCGGGCAAATAGTCTACCCTCCCTCCCCATTGTACAATGTTACTCTCTTACACAATCGGCGGGCAAATAGTCTACCCTCCCTCCCCATTGTACAATGTTACTCTCTTACACAATCGCCGGTCAAATAGTCTACCCTTCCTCCCCATTGTACAATGTTACTCTCTTACACAATCGGCGGGCAAATAGTCTACCCTTCCTCCCCATTGTACAATGTAACTCTCTTACACAATCAGCGGGCAAATAGTCTACCCTTCCTCCCCATTGTACAATGTAACTCTCTTACACAATCGACGGGCAAATAGTCTACCCTTCCTCCCCATTGTACAATGTAACTCTCTTACACAATCGGCGGTCAAATAGTCTACCCTCCCTCCCCATTGTACAATGTAACTCTCTTACACAATCGGCGGGCAAATAGTCTACCCTTCCTCCCCATTGTACAATGTTACTCTCTTACACAATCGGCGGTCAAATAGTCTACCCTTCCTCCCCATTGTACAATGTAACTCTCTTACACAATCGGCGGGCAAATAGTCTACCCTTCCTCCCCATTGTACAATGTAACTCTCTTACACAATCGGCGGGCAAATAGTCTACCCTTCCTCCCCATTGTACAATGTTACTCTCTTTCACAATCGGCGGGCAAATAGTCTACCGTTCCTCCCCATTGTACAATGTTACTCTCTTACACAATCGGCGGGCAAATAGTCTACCCTTCCTCCCCATTGTACAATGTTACTCTCTTTCACAATCGGCGGGCAAATAGTCTACCGTTCCTCCCCATTGTACAATGTTACTCTCTTACACAATCGGCGGGCAAATAGTCTACCCTCCCTCCCCATTGTACAATGTTACTCTCTTACACAATCGGCGGTCAAATAGTCTACCCTTCCTCCCCATTGTGCAATGTAACTCTCTTACACAATCGGCTGTCAAATAGTCTACCCTTCCTCCCCATTGTACAATGTTACTCTCTTTCACAATCGGCGGGCAAATAGTCTACCCTTCCTCCCCATTGTACAATGTAACTCTCTTACACAATCGACGGGCAAATAGTCTACCCTTCCTCCCCATTGTACAATGTAACTCTCTTACACAATCGACGGGCAAATAGTCTACCCTTCCTCCCCATTGTACAATGTAACTCTCTTACACAATCGGTGGGCAAATAGTCTACCCTCCCTCCCCATTGTACAATGTAACTCTCACACAATCGGCGGGCAAATAGTCTACCCTCCCTCCCCATTGTACAATGTAACTCTCTAGTGTACATTACCTCTTTACAATATACATCACAGTGATATCCAAAAGGAGGCTCCGGGGATCACTGCCACTCTCGATTTTAAAAATTGTAAAAAATAAATTATCGCGTGAAAAAATGTAAAAAGACATGATGAAAACCCTCTCCTATTTCTCCACGTTTGTTTATTGTACTACATACTCCAAATGTCTGAAAAATTATCACCAGTCTTCTATGCCTGTAAGACATTAGATGTCAGGCATTTATTGGGGTAAAAGCATCCTATGTGTCTAACATTAGATGTCAAGTATTGATTGGAGGACCAGCATCCTTTGTGTAATAATCAGATGTCAGGTAGTTGGGGAACCAACATTCTCTGTGTCAGATATTAGATGCCATGTTTTTATTTGGGGACAAGCATTGTTAGTGTCAGACAATAGATGTCAGGTATATATTGGGGGACCAGTATCCTTTGTGTCAGACATTAGTTGTCAGGTATTTATTTGGAGGACCAGCATCCTCTGTCTGTCAGGCATTCAATGTCGGGTATTTTTTGGGGTCCACTGAGCATCCCTTCTGTCAGACATTAGAAGATGGGTTTTTATTGGAAGACCAGCATCCTTTGTCAGACATCAAATATAAGGTATTTATTGGGAAACCAGCATCCTTGGTGTCTGACATTAGATGGTAGGTGTTAATTGCAGGACCAGCATCATTTGTGTCAGAATCAGGAATTTATTGGGGAACCAGCATCTTCTGTGTCTGACATGAGATGTCAAGTCTTTATTGGAGGACTAGCATCATTTGTGTCGGACATCAAATGGCAGGTATTTATTGGAGGGCCAGCATCTTTTGTGTCTGATATTAGATGCAAGGTATTTAATGGAGGACCAGCATCCTTTGTGTCTGACATTAGATGTCAGGTATAATTGTTTGCAGGACCAGCATCATTTGTGTCAGAATCAGATATCAGGAATTCATTAGGGAACCAGCATCCTCTGTGTCTGACATTAGATGTCAGGTTTTTATTGGAGGACCAGCATCCTTTGTCAGACATCAAATGTCAGGTATGTATTGGGAAACCAGCATCCTTGGTGTCTGACATTAGATGGTAAGTGTTGATTGCAGGACCAGCATCATTTGTATCAGAATCAAGAATTTATTGGGGAACCAGCATCTTCTGTGTCTGACATTAGATGTCAGGTATTTATTGGAGGACTAGCATCTTTTGTGTCAGACATCAAATGTCGGGTATTTATTGGGAAACCAGCATCCTTGGTGTCTGACATAAGATGGTAGGTATTGATTGCAGGACCAGCATCATTTGTGTGAGAATCAGGAATTTATTGGGGAACCAACATCTTCTGTGTTTGACATGAGATGTCAGGTATTTATTGGAGGACTAGCATCCTTTGTGTCAGACATCAAATGTCAGGTATTTATTGGAGGGCCAGCATATTTTGTATCTGGCATTAGATGTCAGGTATTTATTGGAAGACCAGCATTCTTTGTGTCAGAATCAGATATCAGGTATTTATTGGGGAACCAGCATCTTCTGTGTCTGACATTAGATGTCAGGTATTTATTGGAGGACCAGCATCCTTTGTGTCAGACATCAGATGTCAGGTGTTTATTGGAGGACCAGCATTCTTTGTGTCAGACATTCATGACATTTGATGTCAGGTATTTATTAGACCATCATCCTGTGTCTGACATCAGGTGTCAGGTATTTATTGGGGAACTAGCATCCTCTGTGTATGACATCATATGTTGGGTATCTATTTGGGGGCCAAAATACTTTATGTCAGACATTAGATGTCAGGTATTTATTGGGGGTCACAAATGGACAACAAACTTCTATGGAAGTAATTTGTAAAATAAATTAAATCGGACGTACATGTACAAAATTATAATTTCACATTCATGACATTATTTAACAGACAAAATACATGTACATAACAAATGTACAATTATTGTCGGTATAGTTTCAATAGTTACACTCATTAGTTTTACCATGGAAACAAGTGGAGGAAAACAATTTTGGCAGGACTCACCTTTCGAACTTTTGAATATAAATGTACAGTAAATGTATGTCTATGCTTATTCCGTCAATATGAGAGTTTCAAAATGAAGTATTTCCTCAACTTCCTACTGATACATGTACAAAATCTATAACTGGCTTATTTAAAGTTTTTATTTGACCATATAAGTCATGTAAGTGATTCAGGACAGGACCTTATGTTGAAAAGACATTTTGACATGCATGCAGATGCCTAAAACAGTTTGTTGTAATGGTTGAGGGATATCTTCTTGCTGACATCTGACTAAGGGTTAGGCCCATTTCTAACAATCAAATGACTATAAGGGTAAAGCAAAATTTCTTGCCGAAAATGACTAAGGGTTTGATACATTTTGACCTGACAAATGATTACGGGTTAGGCACATTTCCTCCTAACAAATGACTAAGGATTAGGCACATTTCCTCCTAACAAATGACTAAGGATTAGGTACATTTCCTCCTAACAAATGACTAAGGATTAGGCACATTTCCTCCTTACAAATGACAGGATTAGGCACATTTCCTCTTGACAAATGACTATGGGTTAGGCACATTTCCTCCTGTCAAATGACTAAGGATTAGGCACATTTCCTCCTAACAAATGACTAAGGATTAGGCACATTTCCTCCTGACAAATGACAACAGGTTAGGCACATTTCCTCCTGACAAATGACTAAGGGTTAGGTACTTTCCCTCCTGACAAATGTGAAATGACTACGGGTTAGGCACATTTCTTCCAGACAAATGACTAAGGATAAAGCATAATTTTCTGCTAACAAATGAATAAGGGTTAAGAAGAAATAACTTATTACTGACAAGTTTCTTTAAAACTGTTTTGCAGTAGCATCTTGACAAATTTTGAAAATTTACCATTATGCATTTAAATTAAATCATTGCTAATTCTTTATATCTCTTTTATTGACATTTCCTACATGTTTATAATTAACCTTTATTATTATTATCAGATTATAAGTTTTCTCAAAACTTAACAGACTACCAGGGTGGAGAAGTAACCCCCGATCCTCCCTCCCCCTTTTGACTTAAATCATGTCATTTTAACTCAATAGTGGTCCACATCTTTCAAAATGCGAAATGATCACCAACGTTTATAGTTGGTGTAATAATTTTGGTGAATGTCTTGATCTATGAAAAATTGTAAATTGAAATAAAGAAGCTTTGTGCATAGTAAGATTAAATTTAATAGCAAACTTCAAAAGAGCAGCATTTTCAGCTATTTCATTTTTTAATTGGAGGGTTTCTCATGGCTTATAAAATTTACAACACAATTAAAATTATACACATGATTTTTCTATGTTTAAATACACATATATAAAACATTGTAAAATGTCTATCTTTTATTCTACTGTAACTTTATAATCAGGTCAACCACGTGTCAAATTAACAGGTACAACAATGCTCATCTTAATTGCACTAAAAATAAACTGGCTGGATTTTTCTGTTATCTAAGTGACAAATATCCATTTACGCCTTTGGGGTACACTATGTATTTAATTAACTTTAACAACACTTGATCTTCAGGTTAGTTACCATTGGTCAGTTGCATCGTATGGCCACGTGACTCGGTCAATCCCATTCAATCAAAATGTCAACATTGGGGTCACGGGGAAATACTATGCAATAAATAGGAAAATGGAGACTTACCGTTAGCCCTAAATTTCTGTGCTCTCCAGAACTGTCTTTTTTAGTCTTTGAAGCCTTTTTTGCTTTACTCTGTAGCCACCGTTCGCGTAACAACAAAGTTTCTTGTCTTTCACGCTCATATAAGCTATTTATAGTATTGTCATATCTGGTTGCAGATTTATTTTGATGTCTTCTGTAAATATCGAATCGCCTCCTTAAGCGCTCGACTACATCCCGCCGCTTGGGGGAGGAAAAATCCCCCATAATATTATATGCATGTATGTAAAGTTCTTACGAGACAGGAATGTCCCGTAATAATCACACTGCGACCTTTAACAGTAACGATACACAACTATCTCAGATCCATTGATCGCTTTGTTTACGTCCCAAATGTATTACATAGTGTTCACACGTCAATATCACACTAATACACTAAGCACATGTACTAATGTAAATTCACAAGACAGATAACTTTTTATGTAATTTCCTTTCGTAAGTGTAGCAAATGTACCGTACAATATTCCAGATTAATATTTTACGGCACGCTTTCTATTTTGGACTGATCCATCCATTGATTACAAGGGGTGTTAGGTTGTGTGGGAACTCATCGAATTGTGACGTTATCAGCTGGGTCAACAATACCTATAGGAAGTGATCGCACACTAAAACATGTAAATTTATTGTCTTTGTAAGGACAATAATACCTGGTGTTGTTTTACTGTGTTTTATAAGTTTACTTTACACTTTTATTTGATTATCATTAAATACTTCAATTTTTTCTAATCAATACATAAATGGTCTAGAATTGACCCTCTTGTGAGAATTTAAATTACACAGTTCTTAATACTATAAACACAAACATTTTTATTTTCAAGTAATAGTTCATGCATTCACAAAAGACAACTTAATAAATTATGTATTCCATTTAAAGTTTAAAATTGTTTTACATGCATTTAATTATTTCAAACATATACTACTTATTAATGGACTATTAATTATAATCACCGTTCATTTGCATATGGTGAAAACAAAAACACTGTCAAATATAAACACAATATTATATAATGATACAATAATATTACTTTTGATGGACATAAACCTTATTTTCTCAACTCTTCCATGAGCCTCGAGATTGCTTGCTAAAGTCACCGAGTGCTGACAATTTTAAGTCCTGATTTAAAATTTGTTTAAGTCGGAAAGTAGTCGATCGCAAGTATTTCTATAGCCAGGCTTTATTTCATTAATTTGTAAAGACAATAGATCTACTAAAGTTGAGTTCAGAAAAATTACAGTAAAAAATTATTACTTTTTTTGTTGATTTCTTAATTTATTTCACAGTCTTCCCTGCAGTTTTCCATTCTAGACGTAACAAATAAATCGATAGATGTGTGGGTCTTTAATATTTCACGGCAAAGTCATATATTTTTTTTCCCGAACAATCTTCGAACAATTTCATAAACCTGTTTCTGAACAAATTATGTTTCAAATATGCTTGCGGCATTGAAAAATAAACGAAGTAATAACTGAAAGTTGAATAACATATGTTATTTACATTATGAAATGAATTCTTTATGTACTTTATTGGTGTAATACACGACTGTGATGCAGAGGATGCTTCAACATTTTCAGATTTGGTATTTCATATGAAAAATAGGTGGTGGAAAATTTAAATCAGTGCCTGTCAAGCATATAAAAACATTGCATTGATATACCATGTAATCAATGGATGTTGTTTTTCTGAATTGTCATAATTCAATTAAAAGAACGATTGTCATTAGATAAATTGATATTACAAAGCAAGAAATAATTACAATACATGTAAGGCAATCATAACAAAACTTCTGGCAAAAATACAATTATATTCTGAACGAAAGCCAGTTACTTCGAATAATCATACTTCTATCAAACAATTTTTATCAGGATTTGAAGTTGGTCCGAAGTTTGATTTAATAACGATTTTCATGTATTATGTAATATGTAGTAATATGTTCATTTTCAACCATACGACATTGAACTTGACATAACAGTATCTAAAAAATATGTACGAATAAATAGATAATAAACATACAGATAAATCGATATAAATTATAAAAACAAATAATATAAATATATCTTTATTCAGCGTAATAATAAAATGAAAAAAATCTACGACATACATTTGTATTAAGCACCGAGCCACGCTCAGAGCTCAAGCTCAGTCAGTACCGCATGAGCTTGCATTAAAAGCACCATGACTGGATGAGAACTCAAATTCATTAAGCTCAGGTGCCTGACACAGAGCTCAAATTTATTAGACACCATGTCTGACAAAAAACTCCAAACTAAGTAAGTATCGATCCAGATCAGAGATAAAGAAAAGTTAGCTTCGAGCTTGGTCAAGAGTTCAAACTTAGTGAAGCTCATAGCCTGACACATGTTTCAAATAGAGTACATAACCGAACCTAGATGTCGAACTAACTAACAAGTTCAAACTTAGAGAGCAAGGAGTAAGACCCAGAGATCAAACATCGTAAGCACCAAGTCTGATACCTATATATAAATATACATATGGTAATGCAGCACCTATGGTAGCGCGGCATCTAGAGTAATGTGGCACCTAGTGGTAATGTGGCACCTATGGTAGTGCGGCATCTATGGTAGTGCTGCATCTAGAGTAATGTGGCACCGAGTGTTATTGTGGCACCTATGGCCCGGGATGCGGCATCTACGGTGATAGGTACCTAGTGGTAATGCAGCACATATGGCAGTGTGGCATCTAGGGTGATGTGGCACCAAGTGGTAATGTGGAAAGGGAAAAAATATCCAAGTGTACTTATAATGTATTTTTATTATTAATGTTATTTTCATATGTCTATTATAATTCTCAGTCACAAATATATGCTGTACAATATCTCATGTTTGTTGCTTACATTGTCATATCTAATCATAATTGTTAATTGTAAATACCCCTGTGGGACCATGATGAATAATAACATATTTGATTTAATTTGATTTGATTTGGTAATGCGACATATGTGGTGGTGCGTCGTCTAGAGTAATGTGGTACCGAGTTGGGTAATATGACACCTATGGTAGTGTGGCATCTAGGGTAATATGGCACCGATTGGTAATGTGGCACCTATGATAGTGGAGAATTTAGGGTAATGTGGCATATATAGTAGTGCAGCATCGAGATTGATGTGGCACCTATCGTAGTGCGGCATCTAGGGTAATGTGGCACCTATATAGTAGTGCGGCATCTAGGATAATGTGGCACCTAGTGGTAATGTGGCACCTATGCCGAAAATATAAATATCAGGATGTATAACGGTATACAAATTTTTGGTTTTATTGACTTTTACTTCTCAAGATCTAGACAAATAGATTAATATTATGTAAAGCGACAACTTTTCAGACAGGTCAGCATATAATTATATTTTCATCATAGATAATGCTCACCTGAAAATCTTAAACACTATGTGTAATTTTATCAATGACTTATTTCTTTAAGATCGTGGAGATATAAGATCTCATATTTCACAGACATGTACAGGTGTTAAATATTACAGTGCGTTATGTAAAAATCGTTAAAATGAAAAATGTCCTTTGTATAATATTTAAACGACTCACAATAGAGACAGTTAATACCATTTCAAAGATATCACAACGAAATAAAGAAGCTAAATATAAATATAGTTTGTCTGAAATTAAGCTAAATGTCAGATCTGCAAATTTGCAGTCTTAAAAGGCATGTAATTAAGTATTGACAAGGAGTTTGTATGCGTCTCATACATCCTCTGTTGTATCGAGAATACATTTTGCCGTCTACCTTTAAGTTCAATACAATTTGCTTGTATGTGTCTGGAACTGGAGAAAAACTCGACAAACCATTCTTTATATCTGTTTCCTAAGCTCGTTATACTGTCTTACATAGTTCACGAAGATTCAAGTATATGGCGATTTAAATTTTTTAAACAAATTCCATACTCATCTCAAGCAGAGCGATCAAATTAAACTGTAACGTGATATTTATGCGTCTTTATCAACTAAAGAGGGCTTAGGGTATAACATAATCCAATCGTTAACTTTTGATCTCCCTCAATAAGTTTACATAACGTGCACATTTCGTTACTTGGAAGACACGTGCACAGAGGTTGATTGACTGATAGTGACATTGAAAATGATAAATGTCAAAAGCAATGGAGAAAATAACTCTGTTTATATGTGGTTGTCTCACGGGTGAATCATCTACCCACGGATATGTTGTGATACCTTGGGACACCACAATGAAATTAACACAACTTGTCAATGCTGCATACAAGGTATCATAACATATCCGTGGGTAGATTGTGATCTTTTACACTCTTATAGAAAGCGATATGTATGGCAATACTAAATTTAATACTTCTAATGGAGTTTCTGGGGGTCCTTCCCTTCAATAAGGCCAAATACGCATATGGTATAGACAGCTTTCTTTCTTTAAAGAACATTAAAGAACATGTATAATAAGCAGACTGCAAAGGAGTCGGGGGGAAAGGGGGGGTTGGTCCCCCGACTTTTTTGCAAAATATATTATTGAAAATAGAAAATAAAAATGAAAGAGGACACTGAATGACTTCTAGACTATTAGACTATAGAAAAGTTGATTTTGCTTTTCACCCCCGACTTTTTAGTCTAATCACACGTCACTGCATAAGATATCATTAATGTTTTAATTAAGCTGCTCAAATCTTCCTAGGATCATGGTTCACTGTTTGACAGTAGATTGTAAGTGTATTTTTTTATTCCCATGGTAGATACATATTCGATCACTATGACCTATGTATCTTCTTGTTATGAATCTGTACTTAGATCACTGAGATCTATATATCTTCCTGTTATGAATCTGTACCTAAGATCACTGAGATCTAGATATCTTCCTGTTATGAATCAGTACCTAGATCACTGAGATCTAGATATCTTTCTGTTATTATGAATCTGTACCTAAGATCACTGAGATCTAGATATCTTTCTGTTATGAATCTGTACTTAGATCACTGAGATCTAGATATCTTCCTGTTATGAATCTGTACCTAAGATCACTCAGATCTAGATATCTTCCTGTTATGAATCTGTACCTAGATCACTGAGATCTAGATATCTTCCTGTTATGAATCTGTACCTAGATCACTGAGATCTAGATATTTTATCTGTTATGATACTGTACCTAAGATCACTGAGATCTAGATATAGTTCTGTTATTATGAATCTGTATTTAGATCACTGAGATCTAGATATCTTCCTGTTATGAATCTGTATCTAAGATCACCGAGATCTAGATATCTTTCTGTTATGAATCTGTACCTAGATCACTGAGATCTAGATATCTTCCTGTTATGAATCTGTACCTAGATCACTGAGATCTAGATATCTTCCTGTTATGATACTGTACCTAGATCACTGAGATCTAGATATCTTCCTGTTATGATACTGTACCTAGATCACTGAGATCTAGATATCTTCCTGTTATGAACCTGTACCTAGATCACTGAGATCTAGATATCTTCCTGTTATGATACTGTACCTAGATCACTGAGATCTAGATATCGTTCTGTTATGATACTGTACACGTGTTTTTTTCTC